TGGTGCAGGAGTCTACGGGGAAAAGGGGTTTGTACCTGTTCAAGAGCGACATACGGAGTGCGACGAACTTTCGTCCTACCGCAGTATAAAGGTACAAAAAGGAGTACTACAACGATGTTTTGAAGGTACTATAAGAGTACTATAGGGGTGCTATAAGGATTACTTGAAGGGTACTGGTACTATAAGGATAACTATAAGGGCACTATAAGGACTCTTCTGAAGTGGTCTTTCAACCTTGAGGCTTGGCTATGGTGCCTTGCTGTTCATGCCACCTCCGACATTGTAGTCCTCGGACGCCAAGTGGACAGGCAAATCAAATGAAATTCACAGCTGCTTGGACCCTTACCATGCAAGGAGGCCTGAGCTGATCCCACTTAGCTGGGCGCAGGAGAGAACTTCGTGTTGGAGGGGCTCATGCAGGAGAACACGTTCTCAGTGCTGCAGCCTCGGTCATCTCGAGCATGAGCTTGCAGGTGGCCACATGCTCTGTAAGCAATGAAGCAAGGTCCAAACTGCCGAGCTCCTAAACATAAGCTGATGAAAAGTTTCGAGTTGATTTATCTACCCTGCGTCAAGAGCAGCTCATGAAGCTGTTGGTTGCGATAGACCAATGAAGAAACACAGGTCGCTCGAATGGTGACACGGTGCTTGTGCCAGATATGTCTGTGCAATCATCCAGTCATCCAGTCTGCACACAGGCCATCGAAGCGGAACAAAACCAAACCCCAATCAAGTTCCGCACAGGTTTCAGCACCGGTTCGCACTGAGTACCTGCCGACCAGCACGGTCTCTGTGGACGCAAGTCTGACAAGCATCCATCCATTGGTCCGTCCATCCATCCATCCATCCATCCATCCATCCATCCATGGCTTAGAGGCTTAGTGGATGAATCATTCCGTCCATCCATACTTACATGCATTAGACTTACACATACATCGCTGCATCGAGACATTCATCCTTTCATCCATCCATACGTACATACATGCCAGTTTGATCCATGTTGTCTTTAGAGGGCTCACTGGTTCTGGGTCAGCGTCGCGCAGCTCTTGAAACACCTCAGTACGCACCGAAAGTATGTGCAAAAACTTCTGGTGGCTGCTTTCCCCCAAACTTGCCCTGTAAGCCATTCACTTGCCCAAGTAGAGCTCTTCATTCTTCAAGCACGCACCCTTCTTGTGTGGGCCTTGGAATCGCGCAAGCTACGGCAATTGAGAAGGACTCCGCATTTGCTCTGAGGTTCAGACAGCCACCCCCAGCCTCATCGCCAGCAACATCGTAGCCCTGGCATGGCATAGGGAAGCCCTCGGTCCTGAGTGCGTGAGTGTGGCGCATCGCACCCATCGGTGCCACCGAAAGCGGTCTGAGCTTGCAGCTGTCCCTTGAAAACGCCCATGAAGCCTTCCTCCTTGGAGCATTCGAAGGCACCTGGATGAGCTTACGAGTTGCAGATCCCCGGTTGTGAGTGGCTGTCGTGAACATATGTTGCACTTTTTACCATAGATCCAGCAAAGAGGCGCATGGGAGCCTGATCAGAGGGAAAGCTTACATCTCAGGTCGGTGCTGACGCGCTTCGGCATCTCGCCATTTGTCAAGATGGCGCACCTCACCGCAGAAACTAGACTCGCCACCAGCACTGCCCTGTCCCAGCATGAACCGTCGTGACTCAAGCGGTCATTTGCCATGACAGACAATAATGGAGCACGACACGACAACTGCCTGCTAGAAAGAAGTGTGCAAGGCAGTGAGCATTCTGCTGCAAACTCCGACTTGGGGATCCAGCTTCTTATAGCACATCTCATTCAACTCCTCCTCGTCATCAGAGCATTCCTGGATATCGAAACAAGACTGATACATCCTTGGAGCACGCCCTTGTCATCCCTTGTCGCTGCGAAACTCATGGCTGGGTCATGGGCATTGCCATCTGCGAGGTTCTCTTTCGGAGCCAGTGGATTATTAGTCGATTGTGCGCCTCAGCATCATCTCTAGCAGAGAGTGTTGCGGGATCCAACCGCGGTCACTCGTCCTCCCTTTCTGCAAAGACTTCACGGATGTCCCGAAACGACAGTGACGATGAGGTGAACCGGAGTTCAGACGACACATGACTCACAGGGGCTGAAGGCGGGGGCTCAAGGATTGCTTGGAGGCTTTGCAGCGTAGAAAGGCCAGTTCTGTCCGGTACAATTGCAGGCTGCAGCCATATTACGCGTGCGGTGTTGAGGCCCTGAAGACTCCGAAGGCAAGAGTTCAGCGAACTTCTCTCATGATCCTTCACGGCCAGATAAGTCTGGCCTGGCATCTCTTGGGGCTGGACTGACCACTTTGGAAACCCCGGTGCCGCCCCTTGGTCGCAAACTTCTGAGAGGCTTGGCGCAAACGAAGTCAAACCAGGAATCGCAACGAATGTGATGGCATGAGCAAGCCGAGACTCGTGAGCTGGTTCACTGAGTCAATCTGCTTGTTGATGACCGCATGCCTGGGCTGTGAACGATCAAGGCAGCCGATTTCCACATGGAAGAGCGAGCACTGCGACGACGCAGAGTCTGTTGGGGCTGCCGCTCTGGTTTGGATCCCACTGCCGGCACATCCGGCACCGCTGGGACCGCAGGTACTGGCACAGCCGGCACCGCTGGCTGTGCTGGCGCTGCGACTGCCGGTGCAGCAGCTGGCGCTGCGGCCGGCGCTGCGGCCGGCGCTGGTGCAGCCTCAAGCCTCGGCAGCAGGGGCAGTTCAACTCCGCAGAGTGCTCCAGGCGGCCGGGGCGAACACTGCGATCCCCAAGCTCCATTGCCATAGATCCCTGCCTTCACCTGCAACTGCTGCAACTGCCACAGCGCTTGTGTTCAACGCAAGCTTCCGGATTGAGAGGTGCGCAGCGCCACACCGAACGAACTCCGAAGTTTTCGCAGCTCCACTCCACGAAAACGAAAGGCACGGCCGACGACGGTAGGCACTCCAAATTCGGGCACCGTTGCAAGGCAGTTCCTCCCAAAAAAAGACACGCAGCTCAGCCGGATCCCTTGGCTCACCAGAACTGCGCCTGCGTGTTCTTGACGGTCGCCTGCGCGGCCTCCACAATGACAAGTATCAGTATATGACCGATAAGGTTAAAGGGTCAAACTCTACCGCTGCGTTTTGGGCAGTTCAGGCACGCCTCTTCGACGACATCGCTGTCAACTCTGACGCTTAGGGGCGCTGCTGTAATTAAGACCCTGAAACACAACAACCCTTTTCCCGTAACACAACCAAAAAAACCAAAACCAACAATACCAAAAACACCAAAACCAAAAATACCAAAAAAACCAAAACCCAAAATACCAAAACAAACAAAACCCAAAAAACCAAAAAAACTAAAAAAACCATTATTTCAGAACTCTTCCAGAATGTAATTAGAAATATGCACCAATGGAAGAGTTCTGAAATAATGGGTTTTTTAGTTTTTTTGGTTTTTTCGGTTTTGTTTTTTTGGTATTTTTGGTTTTGGTTTTTTTTGATATTTTTGGTTTTGGTTTTTTGGTTGTGTCAAGGGAAGGGGGTTGTTCTGTTTTAGGGTTTTTAATCACAGCAGCGCCCTGGGAGCAAAGGTTGACACTGATGTTGTCGAAGAGGCG